GTGAGTATACTTGTTAGTTTGACTTTGGAAAGCTTTAGATATAACCACGTCTCCGGGGCTGGAGAAACTGGGGGGGGGGGGGGGGGAGGGGGCAAAAAACGGGGTGGAGAAGCTTTTGATATCTGGAGCCCGCCCCCACCCCCAAGAGAACGTTTTAATTAGACACTCAGCCCTCTCTTTCCTCCCCAACCCAACCCAACACGAAATAAGGGAGCGAATCTACCTTCCTTTATTTAACTACGTAATCTAGAAGTTTTCTTTATACAAGGTCCGACAATTAAGTAATGAGACTGATTTTATTAAGGGCCAGAAAAAAATGTCATCTATGAATCAAAGCATGGAATTCAAAAAGGCAACCTTCGTCTATGATCTGGCAACTTTTCATCGCCGCCCGATAAGCAGACAATGAACAAGCCGTCATTTTGTTAACCTAGTAAGAGGTGCATTGTTACGTATTCAGTATGGAACACACACACACACACACACACACAAAGAAAGAAGCTAACATTAAATTCTGTTTAAAAGTCAGAAAAAGCACCATTGCGACAGTTGAACTGATGCGTCAAGTTTATGGGGATTATTGTTTATCTTGTGCACAGATTTTCAGCTGGTATTCACGATTTAAAAGTTGTGTGGAAATGATTACTAATGCAACTAGACCTGGACTCCCAGTTTCTGTTCATAATGAGAAACTCATTGCAAAATTTTGAGAACGGATACAAGAAGAACGTTGTTCGACTGTGAGGATGATGGTAGATGAATTTGGTGTTAATACAGAGACTATTCGTAAAATGTTAGTGAAAGATTTGGACAAGAAAAAAGTTGCTTGCCGGTTTGTATTTAACACCTGGTAATTTTTTTCCCTTCTTCATGACAATGCACCAGCTCGGTAGTTGTACAGGAATTTTTCGCTCAAAAACAGATGTGTGTTCTCAACCATCCATCCAATTCCCCTGATTTGTCTCCCTGTGAATATGTTCTATTCCAAAAATGTTAGCTGCCATTGAAAGGGCACTTCTTCGACAATGTTGTTGGCATCCAAAGAGCCGTAGCATCGACTTTAATTACCATAACGATAGAAAAACTACAGTGGTCGTTCCAGGTTTTTTTCTTTAGATCGTACCACTCGCTGTATCAATGCACAAGAGGCTTACTTTGAATAAAATACAAGTTATATTTTCAACCGTTGATTATTTTAATTTTTATGGAATCAGTCTCATTACTTAATTGTCAGACCTTGTACGTATAATATTATTTCAAATATATATATATATATATATATATATATATATATATATATATATATATATATATATATATATATTTTTTTTTTTTTTATATATTTTTTCATTGTTGCCATTTAGCACATGATTCTTGTTATTATCATAATAATATTATTAGAAAGGTGATTTTTGCACTTATACCTACTACTGTAGTCATCCCCTTGTGGAATGCAGTTTTTCGTTATTTTGAAGCCCCACCCTGGCTCTTCCAGGGGCCGCAATATAGCCCGGCCATAAATATGGTCTAATGGCTTACGCGGTTTCCGGACCTCTCCACGGGTGATCTTCATCAGCATGGTGGCACTTTGTGTCATCGGGTGTTTATCGCTTGTGTAATGTCCTAGTGGGGTAAAATGTACCTTTTCTTCTTCTGCCTTTCATTCCCCCAATGGAGCATAGGCCCTCAACCAATTCACGCCAAGTCGTTTTATCCGTCGCCATTACATGGAGCTCTCCCCATGTCCTCCCCATCTTTCTAACTTCATTCTCCAGCTCTCTCCTTCATCTATTTTTCCTTCTTTTATTTCTATGTCCCTGTGGGTTCCAATGCAAAAACATTCTAATTATGCTGTTCTCCTGTTTTCTCAGTGCATGTCCTATCCAACGCCAGCGTCTTTTCCTCCCCTCTAGATCTATTGGAGCCTGTTTAGTTCTCTCCCAAAGCTCTACATTAGTTATTCTATCATACCATTTAATTTCCTCTATTCTGCACAGGCACCAATTAATGAATGTATGTACTACTACTGTTAATTATTATTAGAATATTATAACCAGTCATCCCATTGTGGGATGCAATTTTTAGTTTTTTTTGAAACCCCACCCTGGCTTTTGCCGGGGGTCATAAATATAGCCTCGCCTAACGGCTAAACAGGGTTTCCGGGACCTCTTCACGGGTGATCCTCATTCGCATGGTGGCATTTTGTGTCACCGGGTGTTTATCGCTTGTGGGATACAACAAGCAAGCAAGCTTAGTATATTCATATTATAAGGTTTCTGTTGATTATCGTGTTTTATATTAATAGTCTTCCCCAGTGGGATGCAATATTTTTTTGTTATTTAAAGCCCAACCCTAGCTTTTGCGGGGGCCCTGAATATAGCTGGGCACATATAACTGTATGGCCCCACATCTGAAAGAGGTTTCTGGGACCTCTCCCCTGGTGATCCTTACCCTTGTGGTGGCACTTTGTGACACCGGGTGTTTGTCCTGATGGGGTTAAAAACTTACTTACTTACTTACATACATACATACATACATACATACATACATACATACATACATACATACATACATACATACATACATACATACATACATACATACATACATACATACATACATACATACATACATACATACATACATACATACATACATACATACATACATACATACATACATACATACATACATACATTCATACATACATACACACATACATACATACATACATACATACATACATACATACATACATACATACATACATACATACATACATACATACATACATACATACATACATACATACATACATACATACATACATACATACATACATACATACATACATACATACATACATACATACATACATACATACATACATACATACATACATACATACATACATACATACATACATACATACATAAATGCAAAATTACAAGTATGATGAGATGTATCAGAAATGCGCCAAACACCCCCCTCCCCCCCCCCCCCTTCCCCCCCCCCCCAAAAAATAAGAAGATACTAGTGACGAACTAAGAATAATGTTAGGCACAGTACGGGTAAATAATTTCACAGATCATCAAAGAATCAAATGGTTTGGTCATATAGTCGGAATGGAACAAACAAAAATCAGCCAGCAGCTAGAGCGTAGAACACATGAGAACAGCAGGCTACAAGGCAAGAGGCCAACTAAGAAAGAACTAGGCGGAAGGAGTAAAGAGACACTGAAGAAACGCATTATGATATTAACATAAGCTACACAACTAGCAAAAGACAGGAAACTACATATATCATATCTGTGACGCTTTACGACCAATACTATCATTGTGGAAGATTTTTCTTGACACAGGCGGGTCTTGTTAGTCACACTCGCCATCGCCATGGGCTGTGTGTGAGTCTCATGCCTCCTCATTGCGCAATATGACACTATCGTCTGGAAAGACGGAAAGGTGCCAATAGCCATATAAATGACGCTTTACGGATTACGCAGTAGGATAAAAGATTATTATTATTATGAACTTCAACAATGCTTATGCTCTTGATGACTCCTCCAGAATTTAGAAGGTCGCTAGCCTCCCACCCCACCCCCACATTTTCCTGGTGTCAGCGCCCCTGCCACGTACTTTTGTTATAAGGCAAGTTTCGTGTATTTCCTTCTGCTACTGTCGGCGTCTGTGGCTTGATGGTTGTGAACGTAGTTTCACAATTCTGAATGTATGGGGTAAATTCAGCCTCAAGTGTCTTAGCAGCTGACCTCTGTGTGTTGATTTCAACACTAGTATGTGCTAGAAAGCAATGGCAAAATATTGAGGTGAAATTCCCATTCTTCAGCCTGCAGAGCCCTTGAAGCTCATTGTTGCAGATGTCAGCCGTCTCCATTCATCTCTCTGATCGGCCTTCTCTTTCCGTTTGAAAATTCCAAGTGTCTTAAGGTCTTCGTATATAATAACACTCAATAGTCTTTGTGGTCTGCCTTATAGTCTGCCCCCATCCAACTCCTTTGTGTGCTCAGTTTTTGTGTTGTTTGGTTACCCTATTAGCTGCCATTCTTTCTATAAACTCTAATCATCGCAGTCTATTAGCTTTCATGTTGTTACCTTGGTTGTACCTATGTGGGATGTAATTTTTCGTTATTTGAAGCCCCACCCTGGCATTTGCCGGGGGCCCTAAATACACCCGAGCCATAAATATGGCCTAACGACTGAAAGGGGTTTCTCCACGGGTGATCCTCATCTGCATGGTAGCACTTTGTGTCCCCGTATGTTTATCGTTTGTGGGATGTCCCTGTAGGGTACAACAAGAAAGAAAGTTAAGAAATTAACTCTCATGATGCCAGTCATTAGTTTAAATGTAAGCTTGCCTTGAAAATGCTCAAGCAAGTTGGTAACTTTAAGTACTTGGGTACCCTGATTACAGCAGATGGACGATTTTAAAAGAAGTTATGTGTCGAATAGTTAAAGGCAATGCGAGGTTTCACATAATAAAGAATATTCTATGCAATCTTTTTTTTTTTTTTTTGTACATTCTCTGCTGGTATACGGAAGTCTTCTTCTTCGCATTCACCAGCTGTAAACGGAAATATCTGGTTGTTCGTCCACTTCTGGACTGCAGTCCTATTCCAGTACCCGAGTTTTGCGTGTGCATCCGTTTTTACATATCTGACGAATTTTTATGCAGACTGCTGGTTCCTTGCCTCTCATGCAGATGTACTCCGACTTCAAAGGAAGCTCCCAATTAGTCGACTCTTACGACATGCTTTGGGTAGGCAGGGGTCTATTTTTGTTTCCCCTATATTAGGGCCCCGGAACCCACACGGGGAGATATACGGAGTAATTCATGGACAGTTGGTCAATTAGTGAAAATGTATTTGAAAGCGGTGGAAATGGGATTTCATAGATGAGAACACCTTGGACATATAAAAATAGTAATTAAGATGTCTTGACAGAAATTAAATACAACTGACATAAACGACAATGGAAACCGTTCAA